GCGACAAAAGCTCGAGGAGCAGCTACGTTTGACATCAAAGGGTCGCAAGCCTTATCTCCACGAGTCACGACACAACCATGCCATGCGAAGGCCGCGTGGGCCTGGCGGACGTTTCCTGACTGCAGATGAAGTGGCCGCCATGGAGAAGCGAGAAGAGGTAACGGGTCAGCCTGTTACCTTTGAGGATCTTAGCAAGCCGTTGCCAACCGAGAATGGTGGCGGTCAGAAGCGCAAGTCAAGTGAAGTCCATGGCGATGGCTCGAATTCTTCCAAGAAAACGAAGGTCAACGCCAGCGCCGATGGAAGCGAGGGGGACTCCGCTGAAGCCTCGGATGAGGACGGTTGATCGCGCTCGTTTTCACCCACAAGACAGTGAACATTACATCACGTCCTGCTGAGGTGACTTGCGGTATTGACTTTTCTTTGTTTTTCTTTTGTCGTCACGGCTTTATGGATGGATGTCTTGGACCTTTTCTCTAGCGAGCGATGTGTATGGATGCCCCCCCTTTTCTATGCTCTATGCCCCATTTGATGTGCTTTTGTCTGATATGCTCTTGTCTTACGTGTTTTTTTGTCTGGTGTGCTTTTGTTTTAACCTATCTTACCCCCATTTGCCCCTGATGTCTGTTTATATTCGCTATGCTGGGACGATTTATTCCTTCTTCATTCCCCCTCTTGCCTATTTTATATCCTCGATCCTCTTCCTCAATGGTGACTCTCAGTTTGTGGGAGATACTTTGTACAAGATTGACCGTTTCAAGCATCTACACTTTCTTCCTTGAAAGTGATATGTGAGACTGGAGAGATAGCATGCTCTGCTTTACTCTGCCTCGAAATTGTCTTCCCGTCAGCCCTCATATTCCATGTAGGGTCTTTCAAGGGCATTACATGGTTGTGCTTGATATGCCACCTTATAATCTTCGACAGATAGCTACTCGCTAAATATTCCATTTTCATCCAGATGTGCTATCTCCATCTTTCTGTCCCCATGCTTATATCCACTTTCATGTTTCTATTATGAATATGCTTCTGGCAATCTCTTTCATCATCTTCTTCTTCTCCTCTTACATCCCCCATCTCCTACTCTTCCTCCTTTCATTCTGCTTCGGTGTCTCGTGTTGTGGGTTTATGGGTCTCCGGCTGAGAATTTTAGAGACGGTCTCCATCACTGGAAAAACAGATCGGGATATCGGTTTTCGAAAGACTGGTTTGTTATGAATATCATTTGAATTTTAGTATTGATGTTTTGCTTTTCTTTTTTTCCCCCTTCGGTTCTTCTTGTGTTTCGGTTAGGATTTGGCAAGGCGATGAAGGACAAGGATGGAAATTGGATTGTAGATTTTGAATTTATGGATATATTGTGCTGATACTTATACATGCACTATCTTGTTGTCTTTCTCGATCTTTCTGTGGTATCATATCCAAAACCTTGGACTATAAATAAGATCCATTGACTGTCATTGGCGCATATGTACAACATATGATGCTGAGTGGATATGACTATGTGGGTCAGGACGCTCTGGCAGGGGAATAAAGTACGGGCCATACCGAGATCATGCTTGATTGATTGGGTATTGCATGGGTCTACAGGTCTAGCGATGCTGAGGCGGCTTGATCAGGTTTGGTTTCTGTTGTTTGCCATATCGCTAGTCGATGCCTATTTCACTCTCTTCTGGCCATTAACGGGATGAATTGCACAATCGAGATATGAGAATGCTGAACTTTTACTTCGTTTGCTAGTTCGGATCTTTTCATATTCAAGTTCGGGCGCGTTCTTCTGTTCCGCCAGACTCTAGGCTTTGCCACGACAGAAAACTTGAGATATGGAGGGTGCAACAAAAAGGGGTATATGGAAGAGACATAGCGAGGGGAAAAGATTCACAGGAGAAGTATATTTAAAGTGGTGGCCACATGGAAATCAGATGTACTGAGTCTTGCTTCCAGCTGGAAAAGATGGGAGTAGTGTTTGACTGGAGCCATGGAAAGTATCAAGAGGATGGCAAGGAGGAGATAAAGTCCTTCCTGTTGCTCCGGGGTCAACTGAAGAAGTTTTTCACGTTGCTGGAACATCTTGTCCTTCAATGTCAATCGCTTAGGTCCCGTGGAACCCGGGAACCTTCCAATCGACCAAAATAGCAAGGGCAAACAGCAAATGTCAAGCGCAAGATACATCAACAAGACCTGGGGAACATAAAGTCATGATTGGACCAGGTGTGCAGTGTCGATAGGGATCTGCATAGCTATGGAAGCCCCCACCTGGTTATCGAACCATGCATATATCAGACTTTGACACCAGCTGCCAGCGACAAATACATCCATAATACAGTTGAATGAATGCTGGCCATGAATTCTGTATTCTACCAGCTTTCATACAGCTTCCCAATCCATGGCATCGACCATGAACCCCCAGTCTGCCTCCGTGTTTGATCCCTCTTCAGTGACCTCATCCGGACGGATGCACTTATCGACATGCTCCTTCGCCCGGACATATGATTCTTCCAATCCACCAAAGATATCAGTGATGATTCCCTCGAAGTCAAAACTTGCAAGCGTCACAATGTCCTTTCTTTCGCCTTGTTTTTCTCTCTCTTCCGTAGTTAGATCGGCAGTTTTCCACCTATTCCGTAGTTCCTTGGCCTTTTGTAATTGGAAATAAACATGGCCACCGCCAAGAACTGGGGATAGTGGGGTTGATTGCTCCCGCAAAGCCTCTAGCACATTGGCATGGTATCGATGAATACCAACAGGCCGACCGACACCATTCCCATTATCTGGTGGTCGCCGAGGTGAAGATGTGACCGAGATATTGAAAACCGCTAGTAAATGGACAATGGCACGTTCAAGCAGAGCATAATATTCATGAAAATCAATCTTGAACATTATTTCCGCGTGGGCGATATCGTCTGCCGATACCACATCGCTCATTTCCAATGTTGCAAGGCGGTATCCTTCTGCTAAAAATGGAAGTTTCCATCTCAGCCTGGCGACAATTTTCATAAATCGTGCCAATTCCTCGGCAGGCGGCAGCAAACGACCATCTTGGGATGTGATAGTCGCCGGGCGGATGCTGCTGTTACCGGGGTTGGAGTTATTGGAGGGCCAGTGCCGGGGAGTATTTTGACTCGCCGGGTATCGTTTTCCCCCGGATCCAGGTGCCCAGCGAGAGTTGAATAAACCCGACATGGTCGTTCGATCGAAGGTAAAATGTGGCGTGTTATGCTGTTGTGATTTGGCGGGCGTGGTGGTCCTGGTCAACCAATCAGCGGTCAGCATGGGTCCTATCAGATATTGTATTTGTGAAAGACCTGTGGGGAAAAAGTTGAGCTCTCACAACGGGGGTTTTCTTTTTGCTTATCTTTGTACGTGTCATCTGTCAGGATTGGGAAGAATGTATACCTATACATAGTAATGGTATATATTACATTGCGTCTCCTGTTCTTGTTGAGTCTTGAGTAGGCCGGTGTAGCTTGGCATGTAATTGAGTACCACATCCGAACTGCCTATGTATGCACTGCGGTTTCCATCGAAAGGTGCAGGTGGTAGGTTTATGACGAGGGGGAACGTTGACACCAATGAAGCTGACCTTCTTTGTTTGGTAATGACTAGGCTAATAAGCTCTGAGGGCCGAAAACAAATATTCTTTCAAGATTGAAGGTCGTCTAGGCGTTTCCCCCCATACTTAGTCTCGTTATAGTGATTATGAACCTTTGAGTGATCTATAACGACAAGACTCGTGATTGCTTAGAATCATAACAGAAGTAGTCTTTTTATTATATGGCATTGCAATGGGACTCTCTACATAGATTACTCCGTCTTAATATGTACATATATAACCCCTAAGGAACAAGCTAAAAAGAAAGTACCATTATTTTGATTTCTCCGTGCCCTAGGGATCCATGCATGGATGTATCACTTCGTTTGCCGGCGCTAGCTATGTAGTCAAGCGAAAAGTGACCTGGCAATCGACATAAGCGATGAGGGGCTTAAGAAAAAGTGAAAAGGTTGATAGGCCGTTGAGTGGAGTTAAGTCGCACAATACCGAAGTAGCCTTCCATGAAGTAATATCGACACGATTGAAGTATCCGGGCATCCTGACTGTTACGGGATGTTATACTTCGTTCATATTGAACTGGCTGACGCGACTCACACTTTTTTCCACTTGAAGCAACCTTTTCTTCCCCTCCCTCTTCTCAATCTATTCCTGACTTCAAAATTCCCAACTCAACTTGCCAAGTTAGGGCAGGCAATTGTCATCTGGACTTGTTCCTGAGAACCCGCCAATCAGCAGATGCCAGTCATCCCCGTGCCGCTATACCCTTTTCGGATAAGCGCCCAGCCCTCTCCAGCTTCGTCCGCCTCCTCGGCTTCTTCCTTTTATCGCCAACTATCGCGTTTCGCTCGAGGCTTCTTGTAGGTGGCCCTCTTCTTTCTCCAATTCGCCTTCTGTTTATTCTTTGGCTTTGTCCCTTGCCCTTTCTCTTTCTATCAGCCTCCGCTCCTCTGACCCTGCTTTTCCATTCCCCTGCTTCATCTTCTTTTCTTCCTTTTCAAGCCGTGGCGCCAGCTGCGCATTGCTGGAATTTGTGGGCTATGACTCCTTATATGCATAACAGCATTGGCTCTGTCCAGCAGACTTCTTCATAATTTCTCTTTGCTATCCGAAATCACCTGCTGCAAACATGTTTCAACCCCTGCCAAGTTTCGGGGCAGGCATGCCGCCAGCAGCAGTGTGTTCTTGTCTCTCTCTTTTCCCTCAACCCCTGCCTATGTTATTCCTCGTGAAACTTCCCAGCCGCCACCATCGCTATTTCGCTCCATGAAGTTGCTTGGTCTGATGTTGACGATACCAAATCTTAGCTCACCCTGCGGTTCCCGACTCCCTGATCGATCAACGCAGACTGTTCCGCTGCACTTTATCTACCTGGGGCTGAGTCCTTGGTCTATCAATAAATTAATTGCAGCGAAGGCGGTTGAATATACTATCCCGGAAGGTTTAGAAAATGGATTCCTACGACGGTTATGGATCTCCCGGAAGGAACCGTGAGTCGGATTCCTTTACGGGACGCGCCTCAGGGGAATCATACAGACGTCGGTCGCCCGGTAAGTCTATCATTGAATATTAGTAGAAAGAGGTGGGCGAAATTGACTCGTGTGACCAGCCTCTCAAGATCGACGACGTGCACGGCCGCGCTCCCGCTCGCCCGTGATTGACCGGTACGAGCCTTCGGAGCGTCGTTCTCACCGCGAAGACTTTTACAACAATTCTCGGGAGCATGCTGCCCGAGAGCGCGAGGACCGCCGACGTGCTCCCTCGCCAACTGTGGCAAACATCGACCGCTATGTGCCCGGACAAGACGGAAGTGGTGGTGGCAAGCGTCCTATTCCGACCAACCCTATGCCCAACCCTCTTACACTTGATTTCCAAGTCGGATTTAATTGGTTCGCGGAGTGGTGGAGATTGGAGGAATCCGTGAATGAGGAGAAAGAGCGCGCCAAGAACGGCGGTCGTCGAGTCAAGGGCGAACGCGAGGCGCGCGAAGATCGCGAAAAGGAACGCGCTCAAATCCAGGCAGCTTATGATACATACAAGGTTGATTTGCAAATTCGACTGGCTAGGCTGTTCGTCCAGCAGCACCGGAACGAGGAGTGGTTCAAAGAACGCTATGTTCCTGAAGTCAGAGATCCTCTTCGCACCCGTCTCATGACGGTTCGACAAGGCGCATATGAACAGTGGGAACATGATATGGACAACAACCTTTTCAAGGATTTTACCCTTGAAGGCATATATAAGAGCGATAGCGACGGTGCCGGTGGTGTGGTTGAGAAGGAGGAAGGCGAGACTACGGCGACCGCTGAGACTATGGGAGTGCTTGACCTACTTCCAGTCCGTGGCGGAGACCTTCGCGACGATGCTCTTGCGCAACCCGCACTCCTTATAAAAACCCTTGCACCAAACGTCAGCCGCAGCAAGATTGAGGAGTTCTGCAAGGAACATCTCGGCGAGGAAGATGGAGGTTTCAAGGGCCTCAGTCTCAGTGACCCGAACCCCTCCAAGAAGTTCCATCGCATGGGATGGATCATGTTGCATCCTTCCACAAACACCAACACAGTGGAGCGCGGAGATGGACGCGATGAAGAATCCGAGAATATGGACCATGACGGAAGTGCCAATGGTGGTGTCACAACCAGCCCGGCTGAGAAAGCTCTTGAGGCTGTTAATGACAAGACCATTCATGATTCCGTCCATGGTGACTTTGTTTGCCACGTGGGAGTCCATGTTCCCCCTGCTCAGCCGCGCAAGAAGGCTCTCTGGGATCTGTTCTCCGCGCCCGAGCGAATTGATCGTGATCTCGAGCTAGCCAAACGTTTGACTTCCAAGTTGGACTCCGAGATGAATATCGCTGTGGATGGTTTCACTAAGATTGACGAGTATGTTGACGACCTGCGTGGCAAAGGAGAGCTCCAGCCCCCGGCTACGGGACCAGTGAGCGCGAAGAAGCAAAGAAACGGATATAGCGACGAAGGGGACGAAGGAGAAATTGAGGAAGGTGAAGAGAAGGAGATTCCCGAAGAAGAAGATGACGTGGATGACGAGGAACTCGCAGTTAAGAAGAAGAAGCTGGACTTGGTTGTTGAATACCTGCGCCGGGTCTACAACTTCTGCTTCTTCTGTGTCTTTGAAAGTGACTCGGTCCATGAGCTTGGCCGCAAGTGTCCCGGTGGACACCTTCGCCGTCCACGCACCGGACTTTCCGCTCAGGCTAAGGAAGTGGCCCGAGCCAGCGCTCTTGGCCAGCCGTTCCCGGCTAAGAAGAAAGAACCTAGCGAGGAAGGAGAAGATCTCTCTTCGCCTGTCCAAGAAAAGCGCGGACAGCGTCATGGCTCTAAGTCTGAACAGCAATTGCAGCGTGCCTTTAACTGGGTGAAGACTTTTGAAGACAAGTTGCTGCAGATCCTAGAGCCGGAGAATGTCGATCTCAGCAAGCTCGGCGGCAAGCCCGTTGACCAAGCCCTTGAGGATGAACTTCTGAAGTATATGAAGCAGGAGGACGACTCCAAGTACCGGTGCAAGGCGCCTGAATGTACCAAACTTTTCAAGGCCGAAGCCTTCTGGCGCAAGCACATCGAAAAGCGCCATGCAGAGTGGTTTGAAGGCATCAAGAACGATGTAAGTGTGCAACTATCCAACAATGCTTCCCAGTATTAACAATTGCCATAGCTCGCATTAGTGAACGCCTATGTCTTAGACCCAGCACGCATTGCCCCATCCCGTTCCGATGCCAACAGCAACGGTCACTTCCCCCTTGGCTCCGGACAAGGGCACACCGGCACTCCTCGTGGATTCAGCCTTGCCAGCCTGCCCTACACCCCCAATGGAAACATGTCTACCTTCCCCCCGGTGGAATGCCCGGCATGATGGGTGCACACGCAGGCGGCTGGAATGGAAACGCAGTGGGACACGACGGCGGTCTGCACCAGCCCGGACCTATGCGTCGCGGCCAGAATCGCAACAACCGACCCGGTCCGTACGACCGTCGCCGATTCAACGGCAACGGCCGACTGAGCCCTCCCCGCGGCATGCCTGGCATGTATGGTGGTGGCCGTCTCCCGCCTCCTGGTGTCAGCGTTCCAGCTGGTCACCCCGCAGCCAGCATGGCCGCCGCCAACCCATTCCCAGACTCTTCCAGCGGGGGTCCCATGGCGCCGCGCGAAGCCGTCCAGGGCCGCAGCTTGAAGAGCTACGAGGATCTGGATGCAGTCGATGCATCTGGCAGTGGCGAATTGCAGTACTAGTATCTGCTGATCTGATAACACCTTTCGCTCTTGTGTTTTCTTTTTATTCTTTTCTTTCTTTCTTTCTTTCTTTCTTTCTTTTTTCTTTTCCTCCAATTGGCGACCTGGCGCATCGGAGGGACCGCTCATTTATTGAATTCAATCATTTTCATTGATCTCTACTTGCGAAAACATGGCCTTTATTTTTTATCTCCTTGTTGTTTATTATCATTTTATCATCCCCAACGGAATTTCCTTTCTTTATTTTCCAGCATGTACAATAACCCTTCTATCAAAATATGAAATTGAAGATTCAAAAATATCAAATGATATTCATTGCAATGCGTATGGGGGGTATCGATATTATAAGCTTACAATTTCCAATCAAATATTAAACACGACCCAAATCCCCTGGCCAAACACACTTCCTAACCAATGACCATCTACGGCATCTGGATAACAACTTCCTCCCCCGCATCCCGCCACTGCACACCCATCCCACGAATCCGGCGCTCACTCGCCAAGAAGAGCAGAAGGTAAACGTGCATAGCGACCTCACCCCACGCATAGACTTTAAGAGAGACGTGCGTGTCAGACGAGAGCGTTGACGGGGCCGTCGCAGCCTCGAGGATACACCAGACGCCCCATCCCGCACGGCCGTCCCTACCAACGAAGTCCGAGAGGAAGGACCAGAAGGCATGAAAGAGCTGGTAAGGCCATGTCCGCATGATCTCTTTTGGCTTTGGCGAAGTTGGGCTTTGAATGGCATTAGTGGTTCCAGATTTGGGGTTTGGGTTTGGATCTGCAAGGTCGGCTGAATCTCGCTCTCGGCTTCGGGGGTTCTCAACAGCGAGGTGCACGAGCCAATAGCCCCGTTCTAGGGGGTCGAGGGGGCGGGTTTGAGTGAATGGTTTGTAGGTTCGTGCTGGGTTTAGACGCTCTGTGAGCATTGATAGGGTTGGGGTTATGTGGGTAGTGAAAGGGGCAGTGGAGATTGGTGGCCTTGGGGGATGGATTTCGAGAGGGAGAGTGGATAGATTGATCTGATTCGGGGATTGGGATTGGGCTGGGGTGTTCGCGGGAATGTGATGCGAGGGAGTGGTAGGATGAGTGATGGAGGCATCTGGACCTTTTCCTTGGTCTGAGCTGGATATTTCGATGGGGATTTCAGGGAAACCAGTGGGGATGGGCTGTTTGTTGTCGATGGGGATGACCCCGTGAGATGCAGCGGGCTGGTCCGCTGCAGGAGAATCTGCAATTAAAAGCGGTTGCGCCAGATCCGGCGAGGCCGGGGCTGTGCGACGTCTTTTAGGAGGTGGAGTGAGCTGCGATGGAGGCGATAGTTCTGCATGAGATTGCTCGGCGCGAACTAGTTCCTGGTCGATCTCGGGCTGGGAGTCTGGAATGACGCTGATGAGGGAGTCTAGGGAGTCGGGATGATTTGAGATGATGGGCTTGCGTGGAGCTGGGCTATCTTTCTCAGGGAGTAAGCGAGGATCCGAGGGTACGGCCGTGAATGCGGGCCGGGGCGCCTCCCGCAGTATTGGCGAAGTCTCGTGTTGAGTCGTCGGGGACACCGAGGACTGTACGGCGGTATCGGCGGAGAAAGAGTGCGTGTTGTCTGCACTGGTAGGGGGTGAGGAGTTGCTCTCCATCAGTGGGTGGCGTGAGGCACATTGGAAGTCCAATATGGCGGCGACTTGGGCCCTATAGCGGGCATCATCTTGTGCGGTGCTCGCGGCGGTGATGTGCACTAGAATCTGGGAGTTGGGGACTTGGATCATTTTTCCGTTTTTATTGGAGCGCCCATTGTGATATTCGATGCGCACTAGGGAGATCAGGGTCGGGGGATCATAGTATTTGTCAATGAGGATATATGCTCTGGATACTCAATATGGGAGAACTATTGGATGTGACTTGGAGTTCCCCCAGGGCTGTTGGACGAAATGATTGGTCAGCCCGCTCGACTGATCACACTAAACTTCGCACGTACCTGGTACTTGCAGGGTACTTGACTTATAGGGTGAAAACACCGGCTTGAATGTGGTACTATACATGTACCTCGCAGTTATCATGATCCTATTAACGCGTCGAGTATGTAAAGTGAATATTTCCCCTCTGTTTCAGTCAATTGCAGTCAATTCATACTAATATACCCAGGTTATACCCAGTTCACCCAGTTAGGTGTATACTATATTACCTTACAACTCAGGTCTCACGGCCGTTTGATTATGTGGAGCCCTAAGACAGATCGAACGCCTTATTATGTTTGAATTGATTTTTTTTTTTTCCTATTTGCATAAAATCAGTTAATAAGTCATAACATAGAAAAGTAATTATAATAATAAAATACAACATAGAAAATAAAATGACCTAAGAAAAAGGAGTACAAAAATCGGCTCTATCCACTTTCTTCCCTTTATATTACTCTCCGATCTCCACGGCTCCATACCTTCTCGACTTTCAGACTTAACCTTCTCCCTTGCCTCTTCCAAAACTCTTACAATGGCTGTTAGTGGTGGGGTCTACCCAATGGACCATGCGATGGGCTATTCTGGTGAGTTTCTTTTTTCTTTACTATCTGGGGTGTTTCGCGATCGGGGGGTATCCAGCTCTACAAATATATCTGGAATGCCCGGGTCCAATTAATTCTGGTCCGATCGCAAGTGTGCAAGCTGGCGAGCCTGGTGAACCTGTTGAACCTGTTGGAACTGAATCTGTTGAACCTGGCGAGCCTGGTGAACCTGATGAAAGCCTGGGGTTCGGGAATTATAGCGGGTTTCCCCGGTTCTCGCCAGGAAGCTATCCAGAGTTAACCCCTCCCCCGACTACCTGCCCTGAGCTTTCCCTAGCCTGAAACAGATATCTACTGTTTTATCGCAGTTCTATGGTCGTATCTAACATTGTGGCGCCAATGTCTCTCCGGCTCGGCCCACGGCCCCGGAGTGCACGGTGCAGAACATGGTAGAAGAACCGCAGACCCCATCGAGTAAAGGCTTCGGAGCCGAAATATTTAAAATCTTTGGAGGTGGCAGTGGCAGCGCTGCCAGTGGCAATGGACCGAAGAAGACCACGCGAGGTGAGTGATCTGATCCCAGTCGCTCGATCGGATCGCAACTAAGCTTTTCCAGATGGTCAACAACCCAAACGTCGCGGCCCCAAGCCAGATAGCAAGCCTGCACTCACCAGACGGCAGGAACTAAACCGTCAGGCCCAGAGGTACACAACCCGCGGATATAATAACCATCGGGCTGGACTGATCCACACAGGACACATCGCGAGCGGAAGGAACAATACATGAGAGCACTAGAGACCGAAGTATCGCGGTTACGGGAGGCCTACACCACCGAGATCGCAGAGGCCAACGCATCAATCCAACAACACAAAGAGCTAATGCATTCGATACGAGAGGAGAACGAGATCCTGAAGGAAATTCTCGTAGCGAGCGGAATTCAATACGAAGCGGATCTAGAACGCCGCCGGGCGGAGCGCCCACCGATGATGGCCTTCCAATCGAGCCCTCTTACTGTCGCTGGCAGCACCACCGCGTCGCAAAGTGCGCCTCTCACCCACTCTGCCAGCAACCACAACACAACCCCTGCAACCACGATCTCATCCGGCATGAGCCCTCGCGCGAATGGCATGGATCACTCGGAGATCTCGCCCGCGATTGGATATGCGTCCCACCAGCAAGTGTATCACGCGGGCGCAGGCGAGCATTCATTGAACATGGATCATTCATCGTGCGCGCCCGTTGATACCATGCAGCCCATGCCGGCTACGCGGGGAGGTGTCTTCGAAACGGATCCCCAGTTGCAGGTTGACTTTATCCTAACGTAAGGCCCACTCTAATCTAATAGCAAATACACGTGCTAACGAATATAACCCCTACAGACTTGAAGGTCCCTGCCGCGAACATACGGACTATCTCTGCCGACGGTCAGTCACAGAAGCCGACGACGAAGACATGCCGTTTTCCGGGCACGCCCTGATGGCAACATGCCCACCGCCGAGCTACATTGCAAAAACAACACACGAACAACCATACCCACACAAGGCGCCGGATCTCCCACACGCAAATCTCAGCACCCTCCTCAACCTCAGCCGACAGCTCGTGACAGAAGGACAAATCACACCCATCATGGCGCTGCAATGTCTCAAGAACCACGAGCTGTACCCGACGCTGCGACGCGACGATATCAAGATCATCATGGATACGCTCAACACCAAGGTCCGCTGCTACGGCTTCGGCGCTGTGGTCGAGGACTTCGAGTTGATAGATTGTCTGAGCAGCGTGCTCGGCACCAAGGTCGATCTCGGCATGTCCGGCACAGCCGATGACTCGATGTATGGTTGAGCAGTTGGCCAAACGCAATGAAAATGATTATGATTTGATGCCTGGAAAATCCTGTCTTTTTTGTCTGTGTTGGCTACTGCCATGGAGTGACTCGGCGCCTTTGCTTGCTGCCTGCCTTTCGGTTTTGACTGTGCTTGTGAACTATTTCTTTTTTTCCATTCCTTACTATCTCTTTTTTCTTTTTTCTTTTTCTTTTTCTTTTTCTTTTTCTTTTTCTCTTTTTTTCTTTTGTCTGATACTCCCGTTGAGAGTGTCGTATATAAATGGAAACCACCATCGGTGCAGGCGATATTTCACCTGGACAATATATTCATTTCTTTCTTGTTGCTCTGGAGGGACGCTTATTTATATTGCTTTTAATCTTGCTTCTAGCGATCTGAACATATATCACTCTACTCTAATCGCACTTGGGTTTATATATACTCATCAGCAAGTAACAGTCTTTGATAAGTGCGTATCCATATCCCAGAAGATTATATATAAACAACCCGTAAACTCAGACACGGCGGAAATCCTCGATGCATATGACTGTGAAAGCCTAGAAAGGCACCGGGAAGACAATTTCGTTTCCCCGAGAAAGTTGTACAGAAGTTGATCACTCGGCCACGGGTGTTACTCAACACTACGGACATAGGTCTTTGCATCCTCAGGCAACCAAATATGGAACTACATTACTAAAACGAATTATAATCAGCGTCTGTATAATCACCCTCTTAACAGACTTCTATATGCCAAAAAGCAAGGCCATTTCCCCTCGAACGTATAATTCTGTAGTAATCCTAGTTGGGAGAAAGAGAGAGCGAGGTTTGTCTGGCAAAATGAACTTGATTGAATAGACTATTGGTCAGACTCTATAGTCACGAGTATAAAAGCGTCAAATTTTAGGTCGAGTACGTATGCACATGGAAATGAGGAACATAAGTCATCAGAAAAAAAAAATCTACTCATCAGCCTCATCGGAGTTCTCACCCTCCTTCTCCTCCTCAAGCTCCTCATCATCCTCCTCGAATGTAGTCGCGGGGACGCTGTACAGACGCAGAACAGACTTGTTAGGGTCCTTGATGAGAACGTACTTCTTAACCTTCTCAGCGGGCTCATCGGAGTCCAGAGCACGGATACGGTCAACAATAGTACGGACGATACCCCAACCGTTACCGAGGTTAAGGTTCATCTGGCTAGCGAACTCGCGGGGCTTGTAGCCAGCAACGCCGAGGACGACGTGGGCAGCAGCAGAGCGGGGGTTGACACGAGACACGAAGCCGAGCTTCATGCCGTCAGCCTTGGCGAGGATAGCCTGGGTAGTCCAGCGGGCGAGCTTGGCGGAGTTGTTCTTCATCTCGGTGGCGAGGACGGCACCACGCTGGGAGTTGAGCTTGCTGCGCCAGTCGAGGGCACCGCCGGAGCCCTGGGCCTTGGGGTCGAACTCGTTCAGGGCCTTGATGATGAGCTGCTGGTCCTCGGTTCCGGTGGGACCGCCCTTCATGACGGCGTCGACCTCTGTGCGGACGACCATGGAGACGGGCTCCTCGTCGCGCTCGAGGGAGATGTCGAAGCGACGGTACTTGTAACCCTTGGAGGCGAGGGGCTCGGTCTCCTCGGTCTCGTCGTAGAAGGGGTTGGGCTTGGCGAAGGAGACCTTGGACTTCTCGGACTCGATGAGAGTCTGCAGGGCGAAGTTGTGGTTGATGATGGTGGCTTCCATGGCGAGGGCGTTGGGGGTGTTAATCTGCTCCTGCTTGCCGGCGGCCTCGGCGGCCTCGAGGGGTGCGTCGATGGCGTTCTCGTTGACGCTGACCATGTCGAAGGAGGCACCGTCGCGCTTGTCGAAGTAGATCTTGTCGCCCTGGTGGACGATGACGATGTCCCACGAGTAGACACTGCGGGTGGCGCACATCAGCATGGACAGGATATCGGAGGTGGCGAAGACGGTAGCGGCGTTCTTCTCGGAGAGCTCGTTGATGACGGGATCCTGGGAGGTGGTAACGTTGTAGGCAGCACGGTCGAGAGCCTGCATTCTGCGCTCGGCGTTCTTGACGGGGGGCTTGTCGTAGGACTTGTCGTAGTAGTGGAGGAAACCGTACGTCTCGAGGTCCTCGCCCTCGGGGGCATCGAGGTTCAGCTTAGATAGACGGGTGAAGTCAACCTCCTCGAGCATCTTCCAGTCGGGACGGATGTTGACAGAGGCCTCACGGATACGCTGGGGCTTGTCGTAGTCTCTCCAGCCGAAACGACGGCCACCACGGCCGCCACGGCCACCGCCACGGTCGCTGAATTGGTAACCGCTCTGCTGACCGCGGCCAACATTAGGTCCAGCACGCTGGAAGCCACCACGTCCACCACGCTGGTTGGTAGCACCGCGCTGACCACCACGGCCACGGAAAACGGTGCCACCGCCACGGCCGAACCCGCGCTTCTGGACGCGAGTGTTATCAACGACCGAGAAGGAGGACTCGTCCTCGGCGGCTGCGACAGTGAAGAGGTTGGAGGTACCGGCGCCGTACACCTGCTGGTCTATTTGGACTGTTAGCCATTGCTATTCGACTTGAAAGAGCAAGTGGGTGGGGACAGAAAAAAGATGAACCAAAACATACCTCTGAAACCACGGTTGTACTGGGGACGCTGATTCTGACGCTCCTTGGTCTCAGCAGTCCAGTCGGCCATGCGGCCAAGCTTGTCGCCCTTGGAGAAAGGAGCGTATGGCACACCGGAAAGCATGCTATCGGCAGAGGTGGAGGGGCCCCAAGTGTCCTCCGAGGGGAGGGCGGCCACCAGGTCGGCGAGAGAAGTGGAAGGCATTTTGATTATGATCTATGGGCAATTCGCGCTGGGCAACTGCTCAAAAATCAAAAAGGTAGAGGGGTTGGTTGGTCGATAACCCCGAGGAATATGGTGTGGATTAATTGAGGCGGGAAGTTTTTTGTGTCGCGAGGCTGTGGCGGTGTTGGCCACACCGCCACAAGCGCACCGCCACATGTTTCCATATCAGCTCTGGTCACTTTCTCTTCGTCTTCGTTATGACTGGGATGGGATTTTCATCTGGATTTTAGGAGACTTTTAGGGGGCATTCCAAGTACATGAGTGTATGTACTATGGCTAACAATGAACCATTGTGTCTTGACTTCAGAGTTTACCTTGAGAATGCCTTATCTCTTCTGGTTTCTCATCCAATTGATAATCATTGACATTATCGAATTCCCCTGAAAGCCAAGAGGAAATAATTTGAGATGATGACCTCAAATTTCAGGTGACAGACTAAGCCGTCGGTGTCTACTTCCAATGTTGGATCCAATACGTTCACGTAATTCATTCAGACAACACTTATCAAGATGGTCACAAACCATGACGACAATCAGGGGAAGCTGACATGTAGAAAATTTCAAGTGATCCAGTGAAAGGCAATAGTCATCCAGATTGACTGGGCCCAAATCGAAGTTTACCAAGACCTTGGGACCATCACAA